GTCTCAGCGTATTTCCCTCTCAGTGACAGGTCAGAGTGTATGCTACTAAGATGGTTGCTGTGCCTGGTACAACTGGAGAATTCCTGGAAACGTTTGCAAAATTGGAGCACATACCCAGCTGTGAAGCCGATTTCAGAATTTGGGATCATATAGCCCATACTCCTAGTGCAGGGGACCTAGTCTGAAATTAATCAAGAAGGGTGGCTTTGAAAGAAACTGCCTTTAGAACTCAAGGAGAGAGAGGCAAGCAAGTCTCTGTTACTTCAAGGCCAGGCTGGTCTCCACAGTGAGTTCCAGGCCAACTACAAAGTGAGACCACATCCAAAACAAAACAAGCAAACAAGCAAAAAACTGCCTTTGTTGTCCAGTACCCTGGAGGCAGGCAGATCCTTAAGTTCAAGACCACCAGCCTAGTCTATAGAGGGAGTTCCAGGACAGCCAGGGCTATAAAAAGAAACCCTGTCTCGAAACCAAGCCAAACCAACCAACCAACCAAACACCCTGCCTTTGTTGGAAATTCCAGGCAAAAGATCACACTAAGCAAGAAGATATTTTCTGTTAGTGGATAAAAAACACTAAGCATTGCAAAAGTGCTAGTTCTTCCCACATGGATGTGTAAGTTCAGTGAAAATCCAGACCCCAAGGGCATTTCTGAGGGCATTGTGTTGTTTTAATGTATGAATGAATATGGGCCTAAATCATCAAGGTATCATCCAGGAGAATGATAAAGGATTTGCCCTTGTAAATGCAAAGATTTACTGTAGAGTTAAAATAATGGACACAGTGCAGTTTGGGTCTAAGGAGAAGCTGACAGAGCCTGATTAGACTGTTAATCTCTAGACAGTCCAGGGACTGAGGCCACTAGGGTAACGAGGCCTGTCATGACCAGCTGTCACTGTACTCCCCAGAGAAGGGGCCATCTACAAATGGTGCCCAACGGTGAGTCATCCAACAGCGGTTCTTCATGACAGCCAACATCCTCATGTATCAAGAACTCCACAAGAAGAAAAAGGTCAGGGAAGGGCTTTATAAAGAAAGTACAAGCACAGAGCAGAGTTGGGAGGGTGTTGTCTTCTCTCTGGAGGATCTTTAGTGAGGTCTGTGTAGTGGTGAATCAGCAGCAACTGACCCTGTTTGAAAAGTGGGCAAAAAACTCTACAACTCTTCCCCCCCACCCCCGGCACAATGAGGTATGGATTAATGGATGCATCCGCCTCTGAGTGATGTGTTCACTGCCTTCATTTCCTCATGATCACTGAGCCACAACCTTGAGATACTTGTCTGTGTTTTGCATTCTCAAGCACCCTTGAGTGATAATAGTCATTGAAAGTCCTACAGTGTGACAGTTGCCTCTTTCCCTGTCTGCTTGATCCCCCCCCCCCTTTCCTCTCTTGTTCCCTTCTGTATATCCCTCAATAATTTAGAGAAAAGGGTTTATTTGGCTTACATTTCCAGTCCACAAGCCATCACTGAAGAAAATCAGGACAGGGTCTAAAGTGGAAACCATGGAAGAATGCTGCTTACTGGCTCATACTCAGCTAGCTTTCTTGGATAGCCCAGATAGGACCATCTGCTTAGAGATGGCAGGGCCCTCCCACATAAGTCATCGGTCAAGACAGTCTCTTACAGACATGGCCACAGGCCTGTCTAATCAGGACAGTTTCTCAGTTGATACTCCCTTTTCCCAGATGACTTTAGGTTGTATCAAATTGACAGTAAAAATTAACTAGCACAAACTAATCTTTGTCAACTTGACACGCAAAAATATCTCTTTTAAGCCATAACCTTTCCTTTCTTGTTTGTCCCCAAGATAATATTATAATATGGAATACAGTACAATCTTATGTCCTACAGTTTTTAAATTTTTCAAAAATTTAAAAGTTCAATTTGTTAAGTCCAAAGACTCTGTGGGCTCCTGTAAAATACTTCTTTTGGATTACTTCTTAATCCAAAAGGGAAGAACTGCAATAGAAAAACAATCAGATCAAAACAAAACCAAAATCAGCAGTGAGAAATCTAAATCCTGTAACTCAGTGCCTGGCAACTGGGACTCATTAATGGTCTTTTGAGCTCCTAAGGGTACGGGCAGTCCTACTTCTCCTGTTCTGCTATTCTTACATTGCAGAGCTATCAAAGGCAAAAAATGGAAGTCCTCTCAGCTCTTAATCTTTTAACAGTTGTGGAAAGTGAGTTGCAAAGAGGTAAAGTAGCCTGATGAGAAAGAGCCGTGCCAAGAAGAGGATACTGGCTGAGCACCAGCTCTCCCATGTCCCACCTCAGCATATGCTCACCCACTCTCTCTGTGACGTCACTGCATTTATTTGCTATTGTGGCCATTTTTTTAAGATGAAATCTATTGCAATGGAGAGGTTAGAGTTATAGATCTGCTAGGCTTCTGAACATCAGTCTGGCTATGAGTGGTTCTGTGGTTTACCTATACGCTGCTATTCAGCGGATTCCGAAGCCTACCCCGGGTGGATGAGTACCACCTGTGAGACCAGCAGAGACAAAACCATAGAGCATATGGGCAACTGAAAACTCCCAGTGACTCAGCCCTAGCTGGCACATAGGCAGCATCCCACAAACTGCTGCCATTCACAGATGAGCGAGCAGAGGCCTAGTATCCCCACAGATGAGCGAGCAGAGGCCTGGTGTCCCCACAGATGAGCGAGC